TGGATACTAGTAGTTGTAGAACTATCTCCAGCAGCAGAGCTAATCAAAACAGGCTGAGGAAGTATCACTTCTCTGTAGAAACGGCATTCTCGTGTCCCTAAATCATGATCGTAGGGAGGAGCAAGAATATCGAGAAAGACGGCCGCCTCATCACAGACAGTCAGCTCATGCAAATTCCCTTCAGAAGGAGTGAGTAGACAAGGATCACTGTCGACACTAAGAATAGTGTCCTGATGAGGCTGTACGACCACAAGGTCAGTTAGCTGCCAACGCGAAGAGGCTGAAGTGGTTAGAGGTGATAATGCAGATGCCAATGGACTTCCAGGATATATAGCCCGTTCTCCGTCTAAACGAGTGAAGCTACGACACCGAAGTGATCCATACAGCACCCGCAAGATGCCGAACATCCCTGGATGGTCATGCAGGGGAATGCGTGAACCGGGCCTTAGAACAAATATCCCCATGGAAAAGACTTCGTTTTCCATAATGTGAATATAAACTACAGGCGCAGCATATGAGGTTGTGTCAGAAATCCACCGTAGATCTAACCCGACATCATGAGAGGTTAGATTTTTTAGGGTTGTAATTAAGCGACGCAAGTTATCTTCAAACAAATGATCATGGCCACTAGATGTGTTATTTTTAACATGACTGGAAGGAGAGGTTATCTTCTTTAGGAGCTGTTCGAGTGCACCAAAATTAGTTATGGGAGAATTTCCAATAGATGAAGACGGAGAATGACCTCTTAATTGCTGACTAGGAGATGCTGTCAGAGTTCGTAATGCATGCTGTTGAAATACTTGAAGCGAGAGGTTGGCAACTACCGCAATCTTAGTGGTCATCTTGAAACGTTAACTATCCTTTGGAGTATCAGAAATAGTCACTAAAATATTTTAAGCAAAAAAGCTTTTATATCTAGGTGAATAAATAATTGCATAACAGTAATGGCTCAACAGCTGTCAGAAGCATATATATATATATATACACATAAATTATAACAAAACAAGCTTGCACTTGAAGCCTGGAATAGTCAGATGTAGTAAGGGATATAAGCAGAAATTACAATAGAGATCATGTTCTATATAAATTCTTAAAATACAATGATCGAATAAAGGATATGAGGCGATCGAAAACCCCCCCATTAAATTCGCATATAAAACATGGTTTAAATGTCAGTGACTCAGAGCAACTACCAGAGACGGTCATCATAGAGAGCATCAGAGTGAGGCGCCCAAGAGCAGCGCGCCGATTTCAATGTCCGTACCAAGAAATTGTTAATATGTACATAAATATTGACTGCTCACGGCCCAATTACTTTACTAATATCGTAATTTTGTGTTTATAGTTGATTATTTTTTTGGCATAATTTTTTTTATTCTTACAGGGTGCTTTAATTTGAGAAAATAACGAACCTCAACTTACATTTATTTATATATTTTATTATCTATCAGCATCTTTTATTT